CGGATTTTGGTCGAACTAAACCCCAGGAGTGAGAAGGTCACAGACCCTGTGAAGGGAAAACCAAGCACAAAGGGGCAACACGCTGGGTCCATGTTTATGAATACACTGGTACCTCGGGTTACAGGCGCTTCAGGTTACATATGCTTCAGGTTACAGACTCCGCTAACCCAGAAATAGTACCTCGGGTTAAGAACTTTGCTTCAGGATGAGAACAGAAATCATGCTCTGGCGGCACAGCAGCAGCAGGAGGCCCCATTAGCTAAAGTGGTGCTTCAGGTTAAGAACAGTTTCAGGTTAAGAATGAACCTCCGGAACGAATTAAGTACTTAACCCGAGGTACCACTGTAATGTGATTGCCATGACAGCGAAGTGGAACCTCCTTGTCCAGAGGAAGTCTACCCCTGAATTCCAGGTGCTTGGAGAGCAAACAACTGCTGTTTCCCCATTCTGCTTATAGGCTCTCAGGCGCATCTGGCTGGCCAACGTGGGAAGCGGCAGCGTGATGCCTCTGGACTCTGATTTCAGGCTTGATGATGCACCAGACTGGTTCTTAAATCTTCTGATAGCAGAAATTTTCTTTGGGTGGTAAAAGCAGAAAAGCCAGTTATTCGACTCTTGTGTGTGAGTAAGGGCATCAGTAAGTGTTTGATCAGAGTTTTGCTGCCTTAAACTTCACTCCCAGAGAACAAAGTTGTTAAGATATTTCCCAGAAACTAGGATTTTACCATTTCACAGTCACTTGGTAAGAATAGCGGCACAGCTTTTTAAACAGGCTCTTTGGCATATCCAAAATTTCAAGCCTGGGTGCCTTCACAGGATGACTGAGGGTTTATTTAGAAGGGCTGACTGCATCTTACTATCTTATTTCTTACTTTTGTTAGTCACTTTATATTGCCCAAAGCAACCCAGAGTGACTTACAACCAATCATCTGGTCGTGTCAGTTGGTTCAAATAGCTGTCATTGGTTAAAGTCATTATTAGAATTCAATAAACTGCCCATCTTCAAATGCTAGAATTTTTTTAGCAGCTTTGAGAGACTCGAAGGACAGTATTGTGGAATGTAAACATTGGGCCAAGCAATCCCATAGTAACCTCATGGCCATTTTAATAATGGGGTAGGCATTCATAACGCACACCAAAGCTTGTGGGTCCTTGGCTGTATGAATTCTGCTTCCAGTTCTTGAACCACGGAAAGACTTGTTCTCATCACCCATGACTGCTAAGCTTTCTCTGCTGAGGAAATTTCTCAAAAGCTGTTTAACGGTCTTGATGCACAATGTCTACCAGATCACCCCTATCCACATGCTTATTGACATTCTCAAAGAACTCAGAATGGTTAGTTCGACAGGATGGCCTTGCAAAAGCCATGCTTGTTCTGCTCCAGCAAGACTTGTTCTTCTGCATGATTCAGAATTATATCTGTAATGCTTTCCACCACTTTTCCCAGAACAGATATTAAGCTAATGGTCTGCAGTTTCCTAGATTTTTACACAGTGATTTCTAGGATTATCAAAAGATCTAGCCAAAGACTGGTGATACAAACCATCTCAGACATTCGGGGGTGGGGAGGGGTGTGCTCTCTCGCTCCTCCCTGGTCGTCTAGTCCCTTTCAACTGCTTGGCAAGTGGGCTGGGGCACTGAGCAACCATTGGCGGGGGAAGCAGGGTAGCAGTATGCCCCACCTGCCCATGGCCCCATCAAGCCTGGCTGTGCCACTGAAGAAACTATCAAGACAATGTGCTATTAACATATAACTAGAGCAGCACATCACCTGTCCCCATTTTAATTTTTTTAGCAGCAGTAACATTCACAGCACCTGATTTCTCTGTGCACTCAATCTTCACCCCATGTTTAGTAGCTGGAGAGTCAGTGCATGGGCATTTCAGAATAATTTCTATTAAGAATAAAGGCAACTGCACATACTTTTTTCCAAGAGAAAACAGCCTTATTTTCCAAGTTGAAGAAAACAGGTATAAGCAGCTAATTAAAATAAAATGAACATGCCCAACCGGGTCAGTGGTGCCAATGCTTTTTCAGTTAGGATAACTTATCTAAACTGCACTTTACATTTTTGCTTGCATATGTGTAGGTATCATCAAGCAGAAAAACTGCTTTATCTGTTTCAAAATCACAACAACATCCTATTTGAAGCCACAGTTAACAGTTCTCTATCTTCAATCACGATAGCAAGATTACCGCTCATGTTTCTAATCCAGCCCAGTGACAGGAAACCCAACTCCCCTTCCTCCTTTGACATTTCACATACTGTACTTCCCAGCACAGGGCATCATGGTCAGCTTATTATCTGGGGTGGGGGCTTTCTGCTTGCCAGGTGAAGGCAAACGCCTTTTCTTCACAACCACTGGTGTTCCAATGATAATACGTTTTGGGCTCACTGCAGCCTGATTAAGAAGTGGGTCCCTCAAATTCACGCTCGGATGAAATGTAGGTGTGAAAAACTGAAAGACCGCTGGTCAGACTTGTTTGGCCAACGGGTAAAAGAGGGTGAGACCTGGGAGGTCATTGCCTACAAACAAACACAGATTATGCAGTTGTTGAGGCGTTGCAATGAAACGAGACAAGGATGGGGCCCTCCTCACAGTTTACCTGAGCTGAAAGGTGATGGAACTAACTCACGTGAACATGTCTCTTAGTTGCAAGGAAGGGTAGCTAGGGATGCCCTAGGAACAGGCTTCAGTAAGCCTCAGGAGAAACTTCTGAGTTGGTGGGAGGGAGGCAGAATCAGAGGCAGTAGTTCTTTCGCTCACTGCTCACACCATTCTCTGGGCCAGGGGTCAGCAAACATTTTTAGCAGGGGGCGGTCCACTCCCTCAGACCTTGTGGGGGGCCAGACTATATTTTTTTGGGGGGAGGCACAAATTCCTATGCCCCACAAATAACCCAGAAATGCATTTTAAATAAAAGCGCACATTCTACTCATGTAAAAACACACTGATTCCTGGACCATCCGCAGGCCGGATTTAGAAGGCGATTGGGCCGGATCTGGCCCCAGGTCTTAGTTTGCCTACCCATTCTCTGGGCTGTGAGAGGACAGGCTGGGATGAGGGGGGTGTTATCTTTCGTGGCTGACCTATCAGGTAACATAGAGGGAGTGGATTGGTCAGGTGGGTTGCGGGGGGGGGGGTTGAGCTAAAAGGTCTGGTTGGCCCACACAGGAGCCCTATTATAATTGGTCTGTGAAACTGTCTCTCCCCCCCCCCACTTTTCCTTAGGTGTCCCTGTGTGGGATCCTCCTCCTCCTCCCCTTTCCTAATGTGGGAATGACCCTGGATTCGAACTAGGGCCCCCTCTTCTATCTCAATGGGGCTCCTCCCATAGTTCCTGACACTGGTGTAGAGGTTGATGCCCGCTGCCCTGTCTGCTGCCATGGCTGGGTGGTGTCACAGTACAGTGGTACCTCTGGTTATGTACTTAATTCGTTCCGGAGGTCCGTTCTTAACCTGAAATTGTTCTTAACCTGAAGCACCACTTTAGCTAATGGGGCTTCCCACTGCTGCCACGCTGCCGGAGCACGATTTCTGTTCTCATCCTGAAGCAAAGTTCTTAACCCGAGGTACTATTTCTGGGTTAGTGGAGTCTGTAACCTGAAGCGTATGTAACCTGAGGTACCACTGTACTTCTCTGTGGAGCACCCAGTTTGGTTTTGACTCCAGGAGTTCCCTCACTTTGGCCCCTGACATGGCCGGTGGGTCTCGAACTCGCACCTCCTGCTTCTCAAGTGATGCAGTGAGCTATGGGAGGTTGCTGTGGCTGCCTGGGTGGGTCTGTTATGCAGTGGTGGCTTAGCAGTGATTTCAGTTGAATTGGCAGCGGTTTGGATTACAGTGATCTGAGAACTTTGCTTCCAAGAAAGCTAAAAGCTTCTCATGTCATAAAACAGGATATTACTGAAGAGAAAGGGCTCATCAGCCAGTAATCACGGTCTTGTTATCTATCAGTGAACTGGTTCACACCAATTCACCTTATGTCCCTCCCATCGCTTATGGAGGTAATGATTTGGTTTGTTCATGACTTGTATTAATGTGTTTATAGTTAAGTGGCGATATATAACATATTGAGCAATATTCTCCACTCCAGTTATAATAAAATGGACCACAACAAATTGGTGATGCTATCTTTATCCATCCTTTCATTGCAGCTTCATGATGTACAGAATTATGCATGAGGTGCTTTCTTACCTGTAAAGGTAAAGGTAAAGGGACCCCTGACCATTAGGTTCAGTCATGACCGACTCTGGGGTTGCGGCGCTCATCTCGCTATATTAGCTGAGGGAGCCGGTGTACAGCTTCCAGGTCATGCGGTCAGCATGACTAAGCCACTTCTGGCGAACCAGAGCAGCACATGGAAACGCCATTTACCTTCCCGCTGGAGCGGTACCTATTTATCTACTTGCACTTTGACGTGCTTTCGAACTGCTAGGTTGGCAGGAGAAAAGACACTCTGCGTTGGCCGGCAATCGAATCCAGATCAACTGCTTATAAGGCAGCTATGCTCACCATTATACCACCAACGCTTACTTCTTACCTGTAAGTGCCCCCAAATGACTCCATTGCCCAAGTCCTCAGAACCCGCCCCCCGTTGCTGGCTGTCCTGCCCCCTCTTTTCCACTCCTTAGCCCAAAGGGGATGCTCCTCCCTGGATTGGCTTTGAACCCTTATCTGCGTTGTGCTGTGTGTGCCCTCTCCCTCCCGGTGTGTGTTGTGCTGCTCCGAAGCAGTGCCCCCCCCCCCCGTTTTCGAGTGGGATCCGATCACGTGCAGGCAAAAAGTGCGCATTTGGAGCTCCGGTGCAAAGCCCCACTCCCCCCCCCCACCCATCGCCCCCATGTGAGGTTTGGCGAGAAGGTGGCAAGTGAGCGGAAAATGCAACCGGACAGGTGCTTGGAAGGGACGATGCCCTTGCTGGAAGCAACGTCGTCTAACCTCCCTGGCCCTGCAAAGAAAGGAGTCTAACCTACCCCCCCCCCCGCACCCCACTAACAGGCGGCAGCCGCGGGCAGGAGAGTGAAGCCTGCTGGTCCCCTCCAAGGCCAGCTGGAAGCCTTTTGCGCGCAGGAGTGGAAGGGTGCGCGCCCCCCATCTCGCCTTTGAGAGGGTCCCAAGTCTAGAGCCTCTCTCCCTGGCGCTCTCGAGGGGCTGCCCCCGCCTTCGGTGGGGATTCCCGGCCCTGGAACCGCCCCGGGGCCCCCCACGTGTCGCTGGCGCCCCGCTCCGACGCACAAAAGGCTTGGCGCCGCCGCGAGGAAGCGAGAGTAGTCCGTACTCGCCTCTTGCGCGCTCTGATGGGGCGCTCCGCTCCGACGCCGCTCCTGCTCCTCGCCTTCCTCCTTTGGAGATGCCTCGCCGCCGCCAAGGCGGGCTGCGAAAAAGGTAAGGGGGCTGCCCCGGCAGGCGGACCCGTAGGGAGACTTGGCCGGAGCCCGGCTGGCCCCTTAGCCCGCTCCTCTGACGACGCCCCTTTGCCCTTCTCCTCCAGGCACCTACCGGGACGCCCAGCGCCAGACTTGCAGCCCCTGCACCCCGTGCCAAGGTAGGTGTCTCCTCCCGTTCGCGATCCCCACTCCCAGCTGGCGCCTGCTGCTTCCGAAGGGGGCTTCAACTTGCAAACAGGGCGTGAGAAATCCCGAGGGGAGGTGGTGGTGGGGAGGGGAGGGAGAGAGCCTGCCAGCTGATGCTCAGGACAACCCCGGAATGGCTCATGAGGAGACATCCCAGGCTCTGAGCAGGGATGATCTGGACCAATTTCCTTTAGAAAGTGGAATAATGCTGCCACCTGGGAAAAGGGTATCTGGACTTGCCTCTTCTGCATGATGAAATATTGGCACAACCCAGATCTTAAGAGGTTTAGTTGCTTGGGGTGGGGAACCAGGGTGCAAGGTGGGCGGAGACAGGAGTGGACAATGAGGGGTGTGGGGAGTCCACAAGAGCTGGGCATGCACAGGAGAGGTGCAATGCAAATTTGCTTGAGAGCAGGGTAGACCGTAAGCACTTTCCTGCATCCTCAAGGCCATGCAAACATGGGAAGAGCTGTATCACATCGCCAGTGGCACATCTAGCCCTGTATCCTGTTTTTACAGTGGCCAGATGTTCCAAAGGGATGTCCTCACAATGAGAACCTGAGCACACTTTCTCCATCTGCGATGCCCAGCAGCTGCTTTTCAGAGCCATACCGAAGCCCTCCACCGATTTAGCGGGGCTTCTAATGCAAACCCTTAGGAAGGCAATTGCAACAAAAGCCCTGCTCAAGCAGAGGGAAAAGCCCTTCATTTTAGCAGCACCTTACAGGGCATGGGCACAGCCAGGATTTATTTGGGGGGGGGTAGGCATTAGGTTGGGGGGGGGGCAGAACCGAAATATCTCTGATGCAATTGGTCAGTTAGTTAAGTATTTATATTTATTTACTTGATTTAGGAGCTGCAGCTGCCCCCCACCCCAGCTATGCCCATGTTGCAGGGTGCTTTGACAAATAAATTTATTAGTTTCCCAATATTAACCCAATTATACAAATGCCAATGAATTCAATTTAATTAAAGAGGTTTCCCGCGGCCCGCATTTGACACTTTCATATTCTTATCGTTCAAAGCGCCTTGCCCCTGACATCATTGTGATGCCAGGTGATTGACAGGTGGATGGCCCCTCCCACTTGTCAAATTAACTAGTAACCAAGGGTACTAGTTAGTGGAGGCCAGAAAGGCTCTCTCCCAAACACTTTGTCATGCAGAGCCCACCTGCTTGCCTCCAGAACTCCTCCTTTGACTCAGTTGCCACTTCGTGTGGCCACAGCTGCTTGATGGAGCCAATGCCCTCCTCTTCTGGTATAATGTGGACCTCTAAAAATGCATTAACTCTTTAGACAAATATCAGTATGAGCGACGCTGCTCAGAAGACTCCGATGCTGTCTGCAAATGTGCCCCTGAATATGAATGTGGAGATCTAGAGTGCGGCAGCTGCATCTGTGGTATTGGAGAGGAGTGGAACGGAGCAGGTGAGGGCTTAGGATGGGTAGGAATGCGTCAAAGACTGGAGGTGTGTGCATGATGTGGCACTGTTGGCGGAGAGACCCTCATGTCACAGACAGGTTAGGTGGGCAGAAAGGTCCCTCTTTGGTTGCTGTGCTTCTGGGGTGCTAGAGGGAGGGAAAGACCCTTTGGAGAGATAGAGGAAAGAGGCATGGGGTGGGGAAGGGTGTCTGGCTGACAGAAGATGGAGAAGGGGAGGCTGACTTGGAGGGTGCAAAGGGGCGGATGGGGAACAGAAGGGAGAGGTGCCTGGAAATAAACTTGGGCTGTTCCCAGGTTATGGGCTGTTTCCTGCCATCTCTGGGCACCTTCTTTTGAGGCTTTGGAACATGAAGAAAAGGTGCCGCAGAAATAAGAGAAAGGAATGTGTCCGAGGCTCCACCTCCTCCATCAACAACATCTCACCCCCAATGCTGCCCCCTCACTTTCCAGTGACACCTTACAAGTGTTCTCTGAGAATCTAGTGACCCTGTTGAATATTAGTCAGCAAAGAGGTGCTTTCTGTTTTAGACGAAACGACATCTTATAGGGCCAAACTAAACCATTTCCCCAACCGAGAAGAATTCCAAGGCATCAAAATATATGGGAAATAATGTTACATGCCTTCCTTGCCAGCAGAGGGGGTAGAGGTTTTCAAGCTCTTGTAAGCTTGGTGAGTTTGGGAGTCCGTTCCACCAGGCCAGAGGGCAGGGCTGGGTTTGTTGTCTCACGTCCATTAAGTAACTCCCACCTGTTCCTCAAAGGTTGCCAAGAGTGTCCTGAAGGGAAGTTTAAGGCCTGGATATCTGGCAAATGCCAAAACTGGACACAGTAAGTCCTTTAAAAAACCCAGCAAAAACATTTTTTCTCTCAGTATCATAGTTGCTGGTGTGTGTTTTAATGGGACTTTGTGATTGCCTGCAGATGTCCAGCTAATCAGATCTCAATTCCTGGGACGGCGAAAACTGATGTGGTTTGCAACACGACAACAGAAGGCCCTACAAAACCCCCGACTTGGCCGGTTTTAACGAAGGAGACAGGTGAGGGTTTGCTGCATCTCTCTAAGTGCTGAACGACCAGCAGCTTGGCAGACGTCACTCAGAGGGCTTTGCTCTCTAGGCAGAGGAGGGTGGCAAACGGAAATAAGGGCAAGTCACCCTCTACTGTGTGTCACACTAATAGTCACTGATGGAAATGCTTGTGATCGACATTGGAGACCTGGCTTCTCTCTCTTGAGGGAGGAGAATAACATTTGCTAGAACACTCAGTTGATGCACAGTCATTTTGCAGCTTGGTTTGGGGGGATTTATTTTTGGCAGCTGTTCTAGTTTCTGAATTGCTGGGTTTGACTATGAGCTGCTTCAAGGACCCTAACTGGGTGGAAGACGTATTATTACATTTTTTTGTTTTCTTTTTTGTTTAGCTTCTAGACTGGTAAATCATCCTATTTCTACACCTCTTCTTTGTCTGCTGCGCCTGCCTCTCATTCTTCTCCTCCGTTTCAGCTCTCGAGTGCCTTTCTGCATGCAGCGGCATAGCTAGTCGCTCGGGTGCCTGGTGTGGGGGCATGTCCTGCAGCCGGGGGTGGGGTGATCCACCCATGGGGGCAGGGCAAGCCTCTCTGACGCTGTAGGGCAGCTGAGGGAGAGGCAGTAGGCAGAGGCAAATCCCACGCTGCCATTTTAGGCAGCACAGAATCTGCAGGCGCTTAAGCCACCACATCACTCCTAAAGTTTTGTGAGCCCAATTTTTTAAAAAACTCATTTTGTCACACCCCCCCCAGTGATGACACCTGGGGAGGTCCGCACCACCCACACCCCCTTCCTCCGCCACTGTCCTCATGGCCAGAAACAGTGCACACTGGTCCTCAGCTATCCTTGGTCACCCTGAAGCCCCCTCAGTTGACGTTCTCACATGCCCAGCACGACCACCTCTTTTCACCCTGGAGGTCATAGCGACACATACCGTATTTTTTGCCCTATAAGACGCACCAGACCATAAGACACACATAGTTTTCGGAAGAGGGGGAAAAAAATTCTGAATCCCAGAAGCCAGGACAGCCAGCGGGATCGCAGTGCAGCGATCCCGCTGGCTGTCCTGGCTTATGGGATAGCCACGCGCACCCTCTCCCGGGGGCAAGGGGAGTCTTCACCCCCTGTCCGGGAGAAGCTGCGCACAACTAAGGCTCCCCCAAGAGCCGCACTCCCTTTAAAGAGCGAGCGGAGCGTGTGTGCGGCTCTTGGGGGCTTTTCCCCGAGGAGGGAGAAGGGCAGCCCTTCTCCCTCCTTGGGGAAAAGCCCCCAAGAGCCGCATACACGCTCCACGCGGCTCTTTAAAGGGAGTGCTGAGCAGAGCCTCCCGCCTGCATTCGCTCCATAAGACGCACACACATTTCCCCTTACTTTTTAGGAGGGGAAAAGTGCGTCTTATAGAGTGAAAAATACAGTACCTGAAATGTTCAAAACTCCATGCTTAGGGTGATGATGAGTTTCCATTGTGGGCTGTAAGAACAGAAAAAATGTTTGCTTCATTCAGGAGTTCAAGTGAGGGCCAGGTACCCATCCGTTCCGAGGCAAAATACAACACCAGCCTCACAGCCTTCTAGAGGCTGCCCGCTTTGAAATAATGACATCCATTGTTTTGGTACACAATTAGTTATCTCCACCTCTCCTGGAATGAGTGACATTTTCTTGGTAGATAGGTGTGCTTGCCTCTGAGCATTTTGTTACAGCCACATCCTGGGTTGGAGGTCTCGGACTCCTTTGTGCCTCCATCTTGGACAAAGTGGTGCCACTGCTGGGCACCTGGTGGACTGGGCGGGTAATGCCAGGCACCCGGTGCTAGAGATCCCAGAGCTCTTCCCTGGCAGCAGGCCTGTTCCCCTATGCAGAGCTGGAGTACCTGGTTTTCTCCTTAGGCCTCGGATAACGTGGATATTTCTTCCTAATACTTGTTCTAAATGTAGGTTTAGTACTACTTGTCCTGGGGCAAGTATTCAGTGGTGAAGGAAGGCTTTTCAGCCTTGTTCTCCTGAGCCCAAGCACACCTGTAGGACTTCCTACAGGAGCTCGGCTTAGTTTTGGGGCTACTTCTGAGGGATGCCTTCTCCTTGTTTTCAGAGCAGGACAGCCATCTGGTCCCCATCAGCATCGCCTTGGCAGTAGCCTTGCTTCTGTGCATGCTGTTCCTGGTGCTCTTTTGCATCATCTTCAGATCCTGGGCTCGAGAGAAGTTCCCGGCTGTGATCCTGAAAGGTAAGACCAAGGCGCGATCCTCTGCCAGGAACCTGCTCTCTGTTCCCCCATCACACACCACTTTGCCGTGGAGCATCACCAATGGGGTGCTTTGTCCAGGGTGAGTGGGGGTCCCCATTGCAGCCATTCAGCATTCCTGGGTCACTGCAGCCTTTTGGTTTTCTGGCCATGCAAACCCTGGCTGGTGAAAGGGCTGGACTTTCTTTCTTTCAGGATTCAGAAAGACAAGCCCTGTGTTGTTTTTTTCACCTCCCAGGTTGCGGGTTCAGCTGGTCTCCTAGCAGCTCAGGGCTCCCAGGAGGAAAAAAAGATACTCTGGAGAGCCGAACAGTGGAATGGTCTTCCTTGGGAGGTTGTGGACTCTCCTTCCTTGGAGGTTTTTAAGCAGAGGTTGGATAGCCGTCGGATGCTTTAGCTGCAATGCAGAGGGTTGGACTAGATGGCCCTTGGGGTCCCTTCCACCTCTACAGTTCTATGACACTTGAAATAAGCTTTAGTCTAGGCCTGATGCATCTAGGAAGAAAAGCTTTCCTTGGGGCCGTTTTTTTTCCTGAAATATGTTGGGCCTGGAATAAATATTATTTCATTTTTTAAAAAAAGTATTTTTATTATGTTTTCAACAAAAGTAACAACAACAAAAATAAAAAAACAAACAGTAACAAATGCAATAACATCCACAAACAAAGAAAAATATACATAAAACCATATCAATTCCATAAAGTGGGATTCTCCGAATCCCTTGACTTCCCTCCCCTGCCCTCCATTCCTGGTTCCCTAAATTTCTTATCAAATGCATATCATTACTACTCCAATTTTTTTCTAACCTCAGATTTCCTATACTATTTCTAAAATTACAAGTATTCTTAAAAGCCTGCCAATGTATGTATCTGTTTACAATACTTTTGCAAATACATAATGAACATTTCCAATTCTTTTTAAAATTTATTGTCATCTTGATTTCTGAGCTTTCCAGTTAGTTTTGCCATTTCAGCATAGTCCATTAACTTGGTTTGCCACTCTTCTTTAGTGGGAACTGCTTCTTCTTTCCATCTTTGGCCTAACATCACTCAAGCGGCCATCGTAGTATACATAAACATTTTTTTTCCTGATCTTTTGAAATTTCTACTCCTACAATACCTAATAGAAAGGCTTCTGCTTTTTAAATAAAGGTTATTCTAAACATTTTTCCCCCCATTTCATTATATATCATTTCTTAATTTTTTTTAACCTTCCTACACTCCCACCACATATGATAAAACGTACCCTCTGTTTCTTTACATTTCCAACACTTAAATGTTATTTCAAATGCCTGGAGTTTCTCTCTTGCTTTCTTTTTTATTTTTTGTTTTCATAATAATATTTATCAGTTTTCAATTACAGCCCAATAGTTCATTATAATAATACCAATGTATAATACAATTATTAATACCAATCGTTCAAATACCAAATTGTGCTAGATTTGATGGTTTGATGATTTTATTTCTGCATTCCATAATCTTATTAATTTCAATTACCGTATTTTTCGCTCTATAACACGCACCTGACCATAACACGCACATCGTTTTTAGAGGAGGAAAACAAGGGAAAAAACATTCTGAATGAAACAGTGGATGTATCATTTTTGTGCTTCATGCTGTGGCCACAGACATGTGATCTGATGGTGAATTTGGGGTGACCCAATGCAAAGATCCTGAGAATCCCTGTGGATCCATGCTTTGTAACCACATTTTTGCACCATTGCAGCCCCAGGCAACAGTGGGTGCGTGCTTTTTTTGGTGCAGGCTGTAGCCATGGACATGCTATGTGATCTGATGGTGAATTTGGGGTGACCCAATGCAAAGATCCTGAGAATCCCTGTGGATCCATGCTTTGTAACCACATTTTTGCACCATTGCAGCCCCAGGCAACAGTGGGTGCGTGCTTTTTTTGGTGCAGGCTGTAGCCATGGACATGCTATGTGATCTGATGGTGAATTTGGGGTGACCCAATGCAAAGATCCTGAGAATCCCTGTGGATCCATGCTTTGTAACCACATTTTTGCACCATTGCAGCCCCAGGCAACAGTGGGTGCGTGCTTTTTTTGGTGCAGGCTGTAGCCATGGACATGCTATGTGATCTGATGGTGAATTTGGGGTGACCCAATGCAAAGATCCTGAGAATCCCTGTGGATCCATGCTTTGTAACCACATTTTTGCACCATTGCAGCCCCAGGCAACAGTGGGTGCGTGCTTTTTTTGGTGCAGGCTGTAGCCATGGACATGCTATGTGATCTGATGGTGAATTTGGGGTGACCCAATGCAAAGATCCTGAGGATCCATGTTGATCTATGCTTTGTAACCACATTTTAAGTGGGGAGCGAAGGAAAAACAAAGAAGGGACATGAGAGGGCAGAGAAGCAGCTGGCTAAGAATGCTGGAGAGGGATTTAACCAGTGGGAGGAAAGAAAGGCAAAAGTTCCCCCCCAAGCCAGCCAGCCATCTCTCTCTCTCTCTCTCTCTCTCTCTCTCTCTCTCTCTCTCTCTCTCTCTCCCCTCTTTCTCCCTCTCCCTCCCCCACTCTCCCTCTCCCTCCCCCACTCTCTCTCCCTCTCCCCCAGCAGCACCGGAGCACAGAGAGGAATTAGAAAGAGCGACACTCTGCTTGCCTGGAGGGGAGGGGCTTTCCCTGCTCTTTGTTCCGTTTCAGCAATCACAGCAACGAAACAGAGGAGGGTGGGCAGTAAGACCCTGAGGCAGAATGCAGGAAAGCTGCCACTTCCTCTTTTCAGGTTTCCCTTCTCCGTGACTCGCGGTTTGACTTTTGCTTGATTTTTTGGCTCCAGGGACCACACATTCGCTCTATAACACGCACAGACATTTCCCCTTCCTTTTTAGGAGAAAAAATCTGCGTGTTATAGAGCGAAAAATACGGTACATACTGGTCATAATAATAATCCCTTATACAACAACAGCAATATTAATAACTTCTATTTGTGTGGACACATTAAATGATTTATAAAACTACAAGTGAGGAACTCAAACTATATCCTTGTTCTTGCTGTGTGTGGCAATTATTTTGTCCATGGTGTTTCTTCCTGTCCTTGTAAGATGTCATGTCTTTATTTCCCCTGGTTGTTGCTGTTATCCATCATGCCTTGGGCAGAGCTGATAGCCCATTGTTGTTTCAGAGATTTCTCTGTCTCTCTGTCCCGTGCTTCATTGTTTTGCAACTTTAACAACAGCTGCAAAAGTCACTCTGTCCCAGTCAATATTACCTGTTGTCACCATTTCCCCTCTCAGCCTGGGAGGAAGAGCGGTATGTCAAACTGCAGATGACTCAGTAAAGAACCTTATCAGTCCCTTGGCAGTTCACAGACTCCTTTCATCCTTCCTTCCAACTGTATATGTGCAATTATACTTCCAATTATATTAAATTCCAGTTCGTAAATAATAAAGGATGGGGAAGAGTCAGCTCTAAGTTTCCATTGTAAACCTTTTGCAATATAGAGCTTCCCTCCCTTTTCCTTTTTTACACACACAGTTCCGTTTGATATTATATTCTATATTTATAATCCAATTTTTTCCATCCTTGCATGTACAAATATAGCTTGAACTAACAGTCAGAGGATGGTTGCTGAAGCATAAATGTAGAGAATAAAATTTTAAGTAAAGAAACCATAGGCTCCCCTCCCCCCCCACCGTCTCTTGCACCAAATGAAGTTTTATTTCAAATTCAAACCTTAAAGTCCTTGTAGTTGTTTATGTTCCGCAGTTTGTGATCTCATCTTTGCTAGTACAACGCCTGTACTTTAGTCCAATTAAGCTCTAATTAAGGGGAGAACCTCTGCTTCTTAATGGGTTTTCAGCAGACGAAGTACTTTTGCACTCAGCGTCTCCTTGCCTCCCGCAATCCATGCCGGAGTGAGAGCCAGGTACCAAGACGAATTGTGAGTGAAGCCCATTCCTCCGTCCCTGGGGGAATTTGCAAGGATAATTACCCTCCTTGTTTTTCCTTCCCGCTGTCGTGGGGGCTGCCTCCATTAAGGCAGAGTGGAACCGGAAGCTATCTCTCTCTCTCCTTCCTAACCAAGAGCTGAGCCACCCCAACCACATCTCGGTCACCCAAGGGATATGTCCCCAACCCCACAGGAGCACGGAATGTGGTAGTGAGCCCAGAGCTCATCTGCCTGAAAACCTCTGCTTTCTAAAAACAAAAACAGGATTAGCATATTCGGGGCCACCAAGACACATCTGGAAGGATGTGGGCTTATTTTTCAGAATCCGCCGAAGTCAAAACAGGGTGTCTGAAAATGGCTTTCAGAGCCTGGAGTGGGGGCTAGGGAGGCCTTGTTGCTCTGCAGAGCAGCCCTTCTCCCTCCGCACGACTGCCACACCAGACTTGTGCAAAATTAGCCCAAATCGCAGGATATGCGGTGCAAAATAGGGAGGGGAAACTCATCACATTACTTTGCTCAATACATGTCGGCTGCAGACATCAGCACTTCTCAGCGGTTGGGCAACTGATGTGCAGGCAGAAGGTCCCAGCTGCAACCTCCGGCAGCTGCCGCTTCTTGCTTTCTGTGCTTCGGCGGAGAATTTTTAAATTTTAGCTGAGAATAGCCACCACCCAAGGGCCTGCCTCTGCCTGGCCTGGTCCCCCAGTCACTTCTTCCTTCAGGGCCACTGGAGGGCTGTGCTTTGACCCTGTAAGGCACCTCTGGCCTTGCGGCCCTGAGAGGTCACCTCCTTCCCTGTTTCACTTCAGCCTCCACACAGCAACACGGCCCTGCCTGTCCGTGTTTTTAGCCAAGGACTGTAGTCAGAGCTGTGGTTACTGAATGAGCTGCTTGGACACCAGTGGAAAGGAATCTCCGTCAACTTAAAGGGCTGCTGTTTCCCTCTTCCCTTTCGTTCATTTTCCCTGCCGCTGTCTTATTTCCTAGGCAGAACGATTCCGTATGAAAAGACAATTATGGGAGAAACCTCACCATGACTGTACTCTCTCTCACTTTGTGTTATGTCACACCGCCTACAGCAGCTGTTTTATGACGTGTGCCCCCAGCGCTTTCAAAAATGTGCCCCCCTGGTCCAAAAAGGTGGGCGACTTCTGCCTTTCAGCCTGCCTCTCTGCTTGAGTCAGAAAAGCCACATCAGTCACTCTCTAAATGTTGTGGGGTCCTCATTGAGCTGTGAAGCCAGATACCAGCACACATTTGTCATTTTTTGGTAGAAAGGAGCCCTTTTCCACTTGCGGCCTCACCACCGCATAGGTTGGGGATGTGGTGGCCCGTGAAGGCCTTCCTCATGTCTAGTCAAAGCCTCCATTTAACTCTGGGGCATTTGGGAAGCTGGTTTTGGATTTGAAGAGTGCTGAGGTGGCTTTGAAGCCGATCTCTTGAGGTTAGCAGGGATTTCTTTTTAAACAAAAAACAAAATTCTCTCACCCACCCCACATTTGTGCCGAAAGACAAATGAAGGGGTGGGTGGGGAGGCTTTTCACATGGTCAGTAGTGGCCCTGGCAGGGGTGGCAGCAGCAAGGTTGAGTTTTTGTTTTTGAAGAAAGGCGGTGGCTCTGTGGCAGAACACCTGCTTGGCTTGCAGAAGGTCCCATTCTCTATTCCTAGCAACACCTCCAGTTAAGGCTGCAAAATGGCCTGGGCCCGAGACCCTCACTGCTTGTCAGTACAGCCAGCCCTGAGCTAGATGAACAGGAGCTTCAGCACAGAAGGCGCAAACTGGGAATGGAAATCAGATTCTATCCACAGAATAGGAACTGGGGGGCAGCTGTGCAAATCACTCGCCTGTTTCTCTCCCCCCCCCACTAGTGCCGCTTGGACAGTTGGCCCAGGAGGTGGATGACTGCAGCTACCGCTACCCGGAGGAAGAAGAGGGAGGAAGCAACGAAACAGCAGGGCTGACAGGGCAGCTCATGGAAAAAATCCCTTAGTGAGCCCTGGTGCCCAGGATGCTTCTGAAGATGCGACCTCTGATGGGAGTTTGGGGAGGGTCAAAAGCATCCAGCCTGTCTTCACATTGCTTTGGCCTTTATTATTATTTTATTTTTGATGTGGGGTGCAGGGGAGGGAGCTGGGGAAATGACCCCTAGGCTGACACCTGCACTGCAACTGCCCTTTCCTATTTGAGCGCATGGCGAAAACCCGCCAGTAGCCCTGACCGACCCAAGCAGTAGGTTTTAAGTGGGGAGGACAGAGCAGCGGCCCAACTCTCTCTTCCCCCAGGGCTGCACTCTATCCAATGAGGGTCTGCCCCTTCTGACAGTTGCTTTTATCACTAGGTGTTTTAAGCTGAGGCACCGACATTTCTTGGGCTGAGCTGGCCCGGCAGACCTCCTCTCTTCACCCCATCCCAGCAGAGCAAAAGCCCTCGAGACCCCAGTGAAGACCATAACTTGTCTTACAGTTCCCAGACCCGGCCTCCCTACCTCCCACTTTACCATTTTTGCTCAGGGTTACACAGATGACTCACAGCGGTGTGCTCTGCACTCTTTCCTTAACGTGGAGCGGCTGTGGTGACCGCGCCGACGGAAACTTCTGTGACGAACTGAGGTTTGAGGTCTTTGATCTGCAAAGGGCACCCAGGCTGGTGAACTGCCTTCTTCCACCCTGCTCTGCTTGCCTCTTGAAGGATGTGCTATTGCCACATCGGGGGGTGTGTGTGTGTGTGTGTGTATGCGGTGTGTGTGAGAAGGCAGAGATCCGGGACCTGGTTTCTATCTCCAACTGCTGGGGATGGAAAAGCTAAAACGAATATGAATAGGTGCACCTGTTATCAGGCATATTAACCCCCTCTGGAAGAGTTCTTCTGCCACGCAAGTCAGCTGCTCTGGGGGTGGACAAAAGCTCCAAAACGGATGGACTCTAATGGTGCAACCTGTCATCGCCTGCTACATATAACCAACCGCTGGAAAGACGTTTGCCTGCCTCAAGGCAAAGGTCCAGCAGCTACTGCTTTGCGGGGATTCGAACCGCCGACCTTCTGATCGGCAAGCCCTAGGGCCAGTGGTTTAACCCACAGTGCCACCCGCGTCCCTGCTTTAAGAGATACTCACTGACAAACCCAACATCAGGCGCACAAGACAGTTGAGCCAGAGTTGCAAGATGCTCAAGATCAGGCAGGGTGTAAACCAGAGAGAGGAACCAAATGTGTCTCTGGCCTCCTTTGTACAAGAGGTTGCATTCCAGCCATGCTAAAAGCCTCCCTTCTCTACTCTCTAGCTAGGGAAGTCATGACCGCAGCCCCAGCATAGGACTTTAGGTAGAACAAGGCTGGCAAAGGGTGTTGCCACAGTCTGCTGTGGGCCTGGGATGCTCCTTACTCCCCTTCTAGATTAATGGCACTTAGCTATATTTATTTTGTCTTGCCGAGTTCAGTGAAACTTGCTCTCCCTAGGTGGGAGCCCTACAATCCCTAGCCAACCTAGAAGCAGCAGGAAATGGGTGCTGTGGTTTGGATCCCTAGATTGCAAAAACAACAACAACAAAAACCCAAACAGTTGTTGGTTATGGGTGGCTGTAGCGACACAATGCATCAGGGGATGTGAGCATCCTCCGACATGAGAGGGGTTTGGAATTGCTTCCGCCCTGGGTTACACAAAGTCAGCCAGCCTCCTCGTTAACAAAGAGCATTCTCCGCTGCTATTTCGCCAGCTATTGACTTCAGGAATTTGGGGGCGGCATAGGGGAATAGAGCCCTATTCCCCCTCACAGAGCTAATATTCCCAGAGTTCCCTGGGAAGAAGGATTGATAGTGAAAGCACTCTGAGACTTGTAACTCTGTGAGGGGAATGGCATCTCCTAACAGCTCTCAACACAGTTCTTTGGGAAGCCATGGCTATTTAACATGGTATGATACTGCTTTAAATGTGGTGATGGGGCCTAGTCCCATCCCAGGACTTGGAATGCTTTTAAATTTAAGATATGATTTAAGGTTTTAACTCTGCTCCATTTTTTTAATGTGTTTTTTTATTAAATATTTCTTGGTTTAAGAATTAAAAAAAAAAGGATTTTGGGGGCAGCTGGGGAGGGAAGAAGAAGTGCCAAATTCTGGAGGGAAATAATGATGTGTGGCATCCCGGAAGCTCTTCCAATAAGGGGTTAGTTATTTGTTCATCAAGGACTGGGACTTGTAGAGTTCCCAGAAAGCAGCTCACTTTGCATTAGGCTGACCGAAAGGTGGCAGAATCTGCCAAGTATAAAGCCCCAAGGCTTTGCTTAAAGTGCTTTCAAGGGCGTTTTGGAGAGCCTCTGTGTATCCAAGTGTCTTTAAATCCACCACTGCAACTGATTTCTCACTGTAAGCTCCTTGTGGCCGGGATCTGTTACCTTGTGCTTTGTAAAGCAGCCTTCCCTCATCCGCTGGGGCTGATGCTTCAGAGTTGCTTCCCTAAACATTTGGAGGTTTTTGTAAGGCCCCAAATACATGATTGGTGGCAATGCACAGGCACAGCATCATGTGTGCTGGTGAAGGTGCATGGAAAGGGGGAATCCAGTTTCTCCCTCAAGATAATTTCACAGGAATTATATTTTTTTCACAGGAATTTTTTTAAAATGATATATTTTTTTTAACAAAAGCTTTGATACTTTGCATAAACAGTGTTATATATAATATGTGGGGACGACAACATTTTGATATACCTCTGATACAAGCTCTATCTGTTACTTGCTACTGTCAGGCTACGTAGAGATATATATTTTGTAATAAATTAATGCTTTAAACAATTTCCCCCTGTGCTTTTGTTCTTCTTGAAAATATGAGGTGTGAAAGAGAACCTTCATGGTCTAAGGGGCCTATTAAGCTGAGAGGAAGCTTAAGGGGAGAGAAGAGAGCATGAAAATGTTATTTTGAATGTGTCTGAATACATCGCTTGTTGGCAAAAAACAAACTGGTCTCTGCACACTTCCCTCATCCCCATAAAGCCCTAGCAAAGCATTCTGCAAAACTCCTTTGGGAGTTGTCACAGAGTTCTAGAGGTTCCCCTGTTCTTTAACTGAGGAAACACTCAAAAATACAGCTTACCTAGGAAAGAAGCAATTTGGGAGCAGGGCCTTCAAACCTGTAGGATTTTCCCTGCGGAGCCTTCTCAAATCCCAGAAGATGTGGTCCAGGTGAACGGGTTTGCACCCTTCAGGTGGGAAAAGTTTACGTAAGCCGCCCGAAAGTGCGCAAGAACCAGCTTTCGAGCAAGGGCTCATTTCCTGAACACACACCACTCCCGCCCCCACAGAAAATGCACAAAATCGTCACAAGGAAGCTTTTTCTTCAGCAAGACTCTTGCTAGCAGAACTGCTGAGCGGCACCAGCCACCCTGGGCACAGATCCTGCTCATGGTACTAGTACATTAAAACACACATACACATGGGATTATTATATATATTTAAGATTAAGCCTAGCATATTTAGCACCAATTTCAAACTGCACTCCTTGCAGTGCGAGATCCAGTCCTGGCAATAAGTAGGGGGTGGGTGTCTGCGGAATACCTTTTCCAATTCTACTTCGAAAGCGTTTCGTGCTCTTGCTCCTTGCCCGTTTATATTGCACACCGTGTCCAATGCTGCAGAAATGCAAAGAGCCCGAGAAGGTAATATATTCTCCCTCTTAACAAAGAGCCTCATTTTAGGATCCCCTTGAAATGCCTGATCTCCTCCAAAGCCTAGTGGGGTCACTCAGAACCCTCTTATCATGCAGTACAAGGAGACAAAAGCTGGTGGGGTGAAGCTGAGCTCCGGAATATGCGGCGATGACAAATCACCAACTTGGATGGCTTTAAAATAGGATAAGACAAGTTCATGGAGGAGGAAGCAACCTCGATGCCCCTGAATACCAGTTGCAGGCTTAAAATGAATGTTGTACTAGCTAGCTCCCTAGACAAGGCATCTAGTTGGCTCCTATGAAGACACGATTTTGGACTAGATGGGTCTGGTCCAGGGCTCTTGGTTTATCCTTTCAAGCCTTGCGGAGGACATTTCCAGTCTCGCAACCGTCCAATAGCTGCTGCCCCGTTTTTCGCTGCAGCAAAACTGTACCCTCTCAGCAAAAGAGCGTCTTCCCACAAAGGAGTCCAAGGGCAGGGCTTTGCCTGTCTGCAGAGCACCTGCTGTTCTACCTCTTGACACCCGGCAGACCTCGCCTGGCAAAGCCATCTTCTTCCCAACCAGGGCAAAAAGGTCACACGAGCGAGTCAAGATGGCTAAAATGTTTTGGTCCCGGAGAAAAGGGACGGCAGCCTTCTGGGACCGCCGCGTTTAGCTACGAGGATGCAGCAGTTGTGCGGACATTGACGTTCTTTGCAAAGGGTGGGGGGAAATGGCAGCCTTTTGCATCGTTGGCCTCAGATTTGTTATAGCAAATCCTGCCCCCCCCCCCCCGAGCAACTGCAGGTATGGGCAGAGGTGGCAAAGAGGCCAGAGGGTTGTGGCAAGGGTTGGGCGGAGCAGCCGCTCTGCTGGGAGCAGATGCGTCACTGTTGTTTGCAGCCTTCCTTCTTGTCCCTGGGTTTCTGCCGGCCTACCTTCTCTGGCTGTCGTTTTGTCGGGGACACAAAGGCCGGTTCGCCGAGCTCATCTGGGTAGTCGAAGAAGCTGCCCGCAGGGACTGAGTGTCCTCCTGGGGCAGCAGCGGCTAAAGTGGTTGGATGGAGGAGAGGAGAGAGAGAGATCTGTCTGTAATGGCATCACCAGCAGCAGCATCCCCACATCCCAAGCGAGCCAGCTGCTTTGGACTACAATGCCCATCAGCCTCAGCTAGCACGGCCAGTGCTCAGGGATGATGGGATTTGTAGTCTAGTAACATGTGGAGGGCAGCAGACTGGAGGAGGGTGCTCACAAGTCTGTTCCCTGCTGTGCTGATGAGGCAGTTGTGCTATACCCAAGACAGCTGTAGGAGAAGAAGCTTCTTCCCTTTGCAGCACAGGGAGAAGGGATCTGCTGCGGCTGGAACCCATGGCCCAGAGATTAAGGGTCTCCTGCTCTACCGGCTGAGATAAGGGGGAAGATAGGACAAGAACCCTCCCCAAGGCAACCAGGCACACGGACATGGTGGTGCTGGGGTGCCAAGCACCCAGTGGAGCAGGCTGTGAGCACCTTCCTCTTGCACAGGAAGCGCTCGCATCTCGTTGCAAAGCCTTTTGGTAATTATCACCACTGATAATCTTGGGATCATTCATGGGAGCCAAAGAGGGGTTTTTTGGAGGGGGCAAGTGTCGACTCGGGGATGACAAACAGAATGATAGGAATCAGCAGCAACTTCCAGCCTTCCGGGTGCAGTCGGGGAGGGATGGGAACAGGGGAAGCTGCTGCCTTAGACACTAACTCAGGCCACTGGTCCATGCAGCTCAGTGCTGCCTACTCTGGTTGGCAGCAGTGGCTCACCAGGGTTTCAGTGATGAGTTTTTCCCTGCTCTACTTGGGCCTTGGGGCTACCCTTCCCCATCAACTGCAGCTGGGACAGCTCAGTCAGTAGATCATGGGACTCTTCATCTCAGGTCGTGGGTTCGAGCCTCAGAGTGGGCAAAAGATTCCTGCGTTGCAGGGGGTTGGACTAGATTGCCCTCAGTGTCCCTATAACTCTAAGATTCTGACTGGCCTGCAAATGGCCCCAGCCTTTCGTTGCGGAGGGTAAACGGGGCTGGAAAACCATGTTGTAACATCTAGCCATGGAATTGAAGGACAAGTATTAAATGTTATTTT